AGCTCTCCAGCTCTCCATCCTGGTTCCTTTTTTTTTTTTTTCCAGATTCCTTCTCCTCTTTTTTTTTTCTCAGCTCAGCTCCACCCTCCTTCTGGGAGGGGCAGGGAACCTGGAACTTCCCCTTTTCCTAGGGACCACCCTATTACATTATGACCCTAGAGGTCAACAGAGGCCTGAATAAGAAATACGAATTTCCCAAACACTGACAGTGGTAGGCAGGTCCTCTCCTGAGGTTTTTGAACAACACAGACAATAAGGGGAAAGGAAACAGCAGAGTCAAAGGAAATTTAGTGATTTTTTTTCTGGGTACTATAATTATGGCTGGCTATTATTTTCCTTTAATTAGTGTTCCATATTTCCTAAGTACAAATTTACTAGCATTATTATGAGGAGCTTGCCTCCAGGACCTTCTATGCTAGTGGAGAAGATAGACTGTGAAAGAGCTAATAGAGAAATCAGACTTATGCAGATCGTCCTTGCTGTAGAGGAAATAAACTCTTGATCAGAAGTCAGGTAAAGACCCCTTCCTGATGGTGCAACGGGTTAGGACACAGCACTGCAAGTGAGCTGCAGCCACTTCAGTGCAAGTTTGATCCCCAGTCCTGGAGGTGACCCATGTGGAGCAGCAGATCTCTCCTGCCCGCCCATTGCTCCCCTCAGCAGTGTATTTTGTTGATCTGCCTGTTCTGCTCCTCACTCTCTCTGGTGAATCCTCTCACTGCCCCTGCACCTCTGGCTTGTGCCCCAATTCTGTATGCATAAATAAGTAAATCTTAAAAAAAAAAAAAGCAGATAAAGTTTCTCATTTTAGACAGTGAATTGTCATAGAGACCTGGAGGATTAACAGTAGTTTGGCAGGATTAACAGAGGTTGGGGTGGAATATGGGGAGGGGGTTGTAGTCATGGCAAAGAACAATGTAGAGATCCTGACTTGGGAGAAAGCTGGGCTTGTTCAAAAGAGAGAAAGGAGACTTGGTGTAGATGACATGCCCGGAGCATCCAGAGTACCTGGCAATTGTAGGCTCTTGATAAATATTTGTTGGAAGAAGTGACTGTGTGAATAAATATGGGGATCACTGACTCCCCTTCCTTTATTCTACCTACTAGCTTTGTGCCCAAAGTTTAAGAAGTAATAAAAACCGAATCAGTCTAGGGAAGAGACTAACATGGGTAAGGAAAACCCTGAGTCCTGGTTGGGCAAGAGTGGGGGGATTATGGTTTCAAGTTGGGTGACTTTGCTGAGAGGGTAATATTACAGAGCCTTGAGGAGAGGGCCCACTTGCAAGTGGCAGAGAAACTGTGCTGGGAGGTGACACCAGCTGTTCCCCACAGGTTGTTGCAGGCTGCAGGTGCCCTGGGGTTTTAGCAGTCCATAACCAAGTAGCCGTTAAGGCAATCTTGGTTAAGCCAAACTGGGTCAAAACACTGAGTGTTCTGTGTAGTTGTGACAAAAACATTTATTTTAGAGGCTGTGTAGCCATATGGTAGTTGGAAAGCAGCTATAGGCAAAACCTTAATGAATGAGCATGACTGTGTTGCAATACAACTTTGTTTATGGACACTGCAAATTTGAATTTCTTGTAATTTACATACACTGCAAAGCAACATTATTTTTCTTTTGATTCCCTTCCTCCCCCCAGTCATTTCATATATCTTAGCTTGTATATCCTAGGAAAGCAGGTGGTGGGCCAGATTTGGCACTCTGGTTGAGTTTGCCAGGCTTCTCTCTGCTGTGTGCTGAAGGAACTCACATTGGGTGAGAGGTGTTAGAGGACAGCTATTGTTGGTTGTGGAGCGGGGAGGGAGGATGGGAGGAGAGATCAGCTCTTGGTCACTTGGGTCTATTTTCTGGGGTTATTTTCCTTCCTGGCTCCCTAGCTGGGGTCTGTGGTTTATAGACTTATTGCGCTCCCCCCCCCCACCAATGTTTACATTTAAGGCTTTACCTTTTGAAAACCACCCTGATTGCTACAGCTTTCTAGAGCACAAGTACTCATTTCCCAGGTGCCTGAGACCTCATTTCCTCATGGCTGGTGTTTTCCACCCAGTGGGTTTCTGACCCCCACTGTAAGATCTTCATGCAGTGGTGCTAAGATCAGCTCAGCCCAGCTCATGAAGCACACATATACACATCGACTCTTGTCCCATCAGAGTTTGGGGCTGTCTGGGTACTCAAAGTCTGGAATGGTGGGTGTATTAACACTGTGGAAATTGACAAAGAAAATCTGTGAACACAAATTGGGGCTTTTTTGTTGTTAGCTATTTCTGACAAGGACAGCTGGTTCGACAGCACTGCCTTCGATGCTCAGATGATGTTATTCTGACACAACCCTATTTATTGATTTATATAGCAACAGAGCTATGAAAAATTTGGAGTTAGGTCTAGAGTCCACTGCTAAACTGTCAGAAATGCCTGGGATATCTCCTCATTCCCATATCTTCCTGACAAATTCCTACTAGACTCACCCATCTGTATGGGTCACACTTCATTGGTGTGCTCAAACATATCACATTTTTGTGTCATCTTCTGAGTCCATGTCTGTCTTTTATTTGGTCAGGAGATCCTTTTATGTGGCCAGGAGAGGTGGCTACCCTGGCTCTAGAGCCAGACAGTCTGCATATAAATTGGGGTTCTATCTCTTACGATCTGAGTAACCTTGACAAATTACTAAGAAACTCAGTTTATTTCATCTGTATATTTGGGGTAAGAAGAGCATATTCTTCATAGGGTGCAAGGACTAAATAATTTAATATATACAAAAACATCAAGAACAACACCTGCCTATAATAAACATTCAGTAAATTTAGCTATTATTACTAATCATTTCGTTCTCAATTCCCATCATACTGTCTGTACATGTCAGATCATACATATTTAACTTATTTATGTATTTGAAATGTAATTGTAGGGAAAAACTGCAAATGGAGACAGAGAAGGAGCCATCCCTTTGGGCTGGAGTAAGGAAATTGGAATAACTGCTGGGGTTTGACATGGAGCAAAGGGCTGGGAGAGCAAATGATGAGGAAGGTTTATTCAGCAGGCGTTTGTAGAAAGAACCTTGTTCTCCCAAAGGCCATTTGGAAATACAACAAGTGAAAGTGAAAAATAATTAGCATGAAGCCCGGTTTTATCTCAACTTAGTAGCAGATCTGTTATCAAAATAACATTTCTTTCCTCTACAATGTCTCTGATGTGTTACTAGTGTTTCACTTTAGGAATACAATAGATTTTAACTATTCAATGATGCCTTGGGGAGAAAGCTGAAAGAAGTCACAGACCCACAACCTGGGGGCATCTATTTTATGCATGCTGGAGAAATTAACATAATGTGCAACATTTCCACAGCTTCCAAAAGTAATTTGAATGGGGTTGCCACCCCCCCATTTTTTTCTCTTTCATATCCTTCTTTGAGTCTTTTTGGAGTGAACTTGTGCTGATTTTTGACAAGTCAGAGCCAAGCTGATAATGCATGACTTTGCTCCATGACTGTGCTGCAACTGAGGCTGTTTCTACAAAAGAAGGGAGGAGGGGTATTAATTTGTGGGTTTTTTTTTTAGGACCTGTAGCAGTGACTGAAATTGCTGACTGAATTCTTTCCAAGGTTTTTTTTTTATTCCTTTTTCTCAGAACAAGTCTGCTTTGGCTGATAATAGCAGATCGGAATGAGACATGGGGGCTGCTGGTAGTGAAGGGTCAGAACAGGACTATGAAGTATATCTGTAGACCTCTCCCTGCTCCCAAATTCATAGCTACTCTGGCAAGTTAGATCTAAGTTTGAATCAGGACTCCTGTCACATTTAATTGACATGGATATATGAAAATTAACATTCAAGTGAAGCTTTTATTTTCATAAAGTAAATGTGTGTGGGTGAATGTTTGCAGGAGTATGAATGCCTGTGTGCCCATGGGTACGAGCGTGATAATTCCATGCTCGTTACTTCAGCTCCACCTTTTTTCTTTTCCACCAAGAAAGCAAATCCACTAACAAAGAAGAATATAAAAAAGGGATGAAAATGCACAGAATGAGCAAAGCCTATACTATTCTTACAAAACATTTGAAATTTGTGACAAATATAATACTTAAAATTCAAAATACATGAACAGTTGTCAGTCCAGAAATATAATATCCATTGGATTGTGGTCAGCAAAGTCTAGCATTCTGGGAACGCTTTCATCCCCCCCCCCATTCATTCTGGGCTTTGGGATAATAACATGTGTAGCTGAGTTTTATTTATTGATGCTCAGGAGGTGTAAAAGCTATACAAACTGAGAGAAAAATATTTTCAGTTAACATAAAATAGATATAATTAAACACCATCTTAAGAAAAATTCCTGTAGGAGTACTCTAATTTTGGAATTAACTTCTTAGCTTTTCAGTCTTCATACTCAGAAAGGTCTTCACAGCGAGGAGGAAGATTGCACTGGATCTGCTAAAGATTGCACTGGATCTGTATTCAAATTCTGCCACTTACCAGCTCTGTGACCTGGGGCCTATTAGTTAACCTCTCTGAGTTTGTTTTTTCCACTTGAAAAATAGGTGTCATTACAACTGCTCACAGCATGGGCAGGTTACGTTCCAGAGTGGATTTGGTCTACTTCTCCATGCCTTCCCCTTCTGAACTAGTGCTCTCAGGATGCAGCAAAATGTCAGGTCCAAGATCACGTCAGGGGTCTGGAGGAAGCTGACCTGGCTTTCTCAGCTGGTCTCTGCAGTGGTGGCTGCAGAGATAGTAGTCAGCAGCACCCGTGGGGCACCCTCACTTGGAAAGTGAGAAAAGGGGCTATAATAGAAACTTTGGGAACAACAAGTTTAAGGGGGAGAGGGGTGTAAGGGAGATGTCCAGCCAACAGGGTGCTGCACATGGAGAGCACAGTGGACAGAGATTCTGCCTGTAAGCTGAGTCAGACCTGACAGGGGTCCCAGGCTGAGCCCCCCACCCCACCCCTGCTGGTTGTTTTCCTGTGCCTGACAGGGTGTGTTTCTTGTCTTTGCTGACAGAGGCAGGCGCCAGGAGAACAGCAGCAGAGTGGCACATCCCAGGGGAAGCCCTAGAGAAACCTGAGGGTGCAGGCGAGCAAGGTAAGCCTTGAGACAGACTTCGTTCAGAATCCCCCCAAGGAAGTGACATGCACTCTCAGTTCCATGAAAGATGCTGGGAACGTAAAACTCCCAGTGTTATGGCTTCTTTTTAGCTTCTGTGGAGCTGGGATTTGAACCTGGCTCTCCTGAACTTCAGGCCAAGCCTGGCTGCTGGACCCAGGGCCTTTTTCTGGAGTTTCCCAAGCCTTTCCTGTGCCAAAGGAGCAGTGCTGTGTGGGGGGTCAGGTACCAGTGAAGGAATGGAGGGGGTGGCTGATGCAGGCCTGAGCAGGGCTGGACTGGCCCGGGTAGGCACCCCACCCCCCGCCCACCCCCCAGAGTGCAGGATGGGTTGAGGAGGGACAATGTGCATTTGGGGTTGATTGGATGATGGGAGTGATGTGGCCCAGGCTGACTGGATCTGGGGCACCAGGAAATGAGACATCTATTCCTGGAAACCTGTCATTGGGTGGTTGAACTGTGACCCAGGCTGTGATGTCTATTAATCCTTGAATCCATTTGCTAAGTTGAATCTGCGCAGGCTCTGACGTATGTAACGGCCAACAAGGCCAATATATTCCCTGACTTTCCTTTGGTCTGGGTCTTGCCTGAACCTGCGTGTCCGGCAGGGAATGGCTTGACCCTGGCTAGCCAGCCCAATAAACTCTAGTTTGTGAATTGCATTCTTGCGTGACGCTCTGTCTTTCGCGGTAATCGAGTTCTTGGACCCTAACACCAGGACCAAACAGGAGGCCTCGCTCCAGGATTCTCACCGTTGTTCCTTGTGGGAAAATAGCCAGGCGAATGTGGTCCATCGTAATGCCCTCAAAATGAATCATTTCAGGATTTCTCGCCTTTACTTTTGCACTCACTGCCTTTCAGTGGTGGTCACTTTAGCCAGGAAAACGGGCCAGAGGCTGCGTCCTGTTGTCCTGGTGAGAAGAGAAGGTGTATGGGAAAATTCTTTGCTTGAATATTGCCATTATTCTTCTGGGTCACTGGCGGTCCCCTCTCTGGGTTCCTGTCTCCTTTGTGTTAAGTGACAGTCTCTTGACATGGAGTCCTGCCCTCCTCTTCACAGTCACTCCCCAAGTGGTGCTGGCTGCAAGCCCAGCTGTGGGGAGCTCATCCCAGGGGCAGTGGGGAACTAGAGTCCGTGTTTTTCAAAATCAGGTTCATAGTTCCGTGGCTGTATCCTAGGGGGGATGTTGGCCAAAAGGAGCATTTTGGACTATGGTGGGATTTTGTCACAGAAGGAGAATTGGCTTGGATTCCCTGGAGCCTCAGGTTAGCCCAGGTGTATGGAATATTGTCATTTCCCAGCGCCATTTTCCTCTTTGTGTTACAGGGCAGCCCCAATGTGAAATGGGTTGGCCCTTATCCACGTGCTTAAAAAGTAGCCCTGAAGTCAGTGTGGCTTTTAAAGGAACTTTTCCCCAAGAGTTCAGGGTTTTAAGACAACTTTATAAAGTATTGTAAAACCCGGGAAATAACACAGGCAGTCAGAAGCTCTGCTTCCAGAACCTCAGTTAACTAGTTAGGACAGACTGTCCCCCCCGCCCCCCCACCCTGTCTTTTTACCTGTGGCCGTCTACCCTTACAGTTACTCTGTCAAATGAGACAGTGTGTGAAAGTGCACTGAAACCCATCACAGGAAGACAACCACAATGACGATAATGGCAGCAGTTGTCATTTCTTGAGTGGTTTTGCACCAGACACTGCTCTCTCAGGGAAAGGCTGAAGTATTCAGCCATTGAGTCCTCACAGCTGCCATGTTAGGTACTGTGATTAGCTATGAGGAAACTGAGGCAGTAGCCATTCAGCCAATAAGAGCAGTGCTGGGATCCGATCCTGGGCGGTCCCGTGTGGAGCTTGTCCTTCTCGTGGTGGTGTTTTACCAGGATCACATGAGGAGAAGTAGTGACACAAACTATGCAACCTCTATCGACTGACATATTCCAGATGGTGGGGAAATGCTCTGAAAAATCAGACTTTCCAAGCTAACTTATGTTATGACCTCCCTGTTTTGTATAATTATAATATCAAAATATTCTGAGCAACCTTCAGTTTACAATTGGATTGCCTCAGCCTCAGGAGGCGCTACCTGGCCCTGACAAGCAAGTACTGCACCAGGGTGAGAAATTCCTCTTGAAGTCTAAAGTCATTAAGCAACTGGCTGATTAATAAAAACAAATGGCTGTTACTGCAAAGTCTCTCTCAATGCCAGACAGGAAAACCCAAATCTTATCAGTCTATCTCACACAGACTTCTATTCAGTTTCTAAATAACCACTCAAGCTTCCTACTATCTAGTCTTTAGATATGGAAATGCACCCAATTTGCCTATGCAGAGCTAATCAGGTTTTCTACCATCTAGACTTCAAGAAAACTCACTTAAACTTTCTAACAAGCTTTTCAAAGAACCTTACCTTAATTTGATTTACAGGAAATTTCTTCTTCCTGCCATCACTTTACTTTACCTCCTAGGATGTCTCTTTAAGAACAAAAGCCGTTAAGTAATAGACAATGTTTAAGGGACTATTTTGGTTCATCTTCACTCTGGTAAATATAGTAATATTAGTCTTAAACTTTGTAAATCTATGTACCTGTTTTAACCTTGATAGATTGATTTTAAAAATGTTATAATCTCAGCTAAAGGTCCAAATGACCCTAGACTATTCTTAGCAAAAAGGTGATTGTGATCTCAGCCCATTTCATATGCTAATGTCATCCCTCTGCCTGCTTGAAGTGTATAAAATAAACCTCTGCTAAAGGCAGAGCAGGAAGACTTGCACCCAACTCCCATTTCCGTGTCTTCCTCGCACCGGCTCCCCTTTTTTCTCCTTTTTCCCCTTTTTCTAGGAATCTCCGCTCTCTGACGCCGTTCCCACCTTGAGACCCTGTCTGTTCTGCTCCCCAATAATCCGTGATCAGGGACAAAGAGTCCCCGACAGAGTAGGATAACAATGATGTGAGTCTGCTTAGGGTAAAAATACACTAGTAATGTTAAAAAAAAAAAACAACAAACATACACCCTATCACTTTTGCTCATGCTTTTTGTCACTCTCATCTCAAAAAGAAAAAAAGAAAAAGAACTAGTATAAATGTTATCTCTTCCAGGAAGCTGTGGGTTGGAGTAATGCCCCTTGTGCTGGACCTCCCCCCACCTCCTGCACTGCCCTCTGTGCAAGCTCTGGTTCAGGTCCCCATCTGTTCACACGCGGGTGGCCCATCTAGACTGAGAGCCCCAGAGGCAGGGACAAGGACTGGGAGCCTGGCCCCTCTGTGTCCACCCGTGGGTACTACAGAGCTTGGAGGCTGGGCCTTTGGGTACTCTTGGGGGTTCTCCCCCTTTTTTCTCCCATCTTCATTCCTTTTAAGCTGCTGGATCTCTCTGCCATCTTCTCAGGAGAGTCTCTTTTGAGAGGCTTGGAGGGTCCATCTGGGCACCAGGGAAGCAGGTCTGAGGTTCCTGAGGAGCAGCTACCTCAGGGTGAGACATGCTCATGGTGCTTGGGGTTTTCTTATTTCTACCTTTGCAGCAGGAAGCTGATGAGTTGGGGGTCTGTGCCAGTGTTGCGGATGGGAACCAAGACCATCTAAGATACCTGGAAGGATGTGGGTGTGGGAGAGGGGTGGGAGGTGGCTAAAGACTCCCTGCTCCTTTGGGCAGAAAGCTCAAGGGCAGAAAATGCTAGGGCCTAGTTCTGTTCTGGTTTGGGGGATGAGAAAGGAAATAGGGTCATGCCAATGGGCTGAAATAGCACCTGTGTTGTCCCTCCTTCCTTATGCCTTTGGACTTCATTTAAAGGCAAGAGATTGGGGAGGGGGGGAAAGTAAGAATGGTCGGGAAGGCCATCAGATGGGAGTGTGTGGAATGCTTCTTATTCTCAGAAGACAAAGGGAGACAACCTAGCCTGTTGGGTAGAGGCCCGGGGCTCACCATACGTCACAGGCACCTGCTGTGGCTGGCCTCAGTTTCTTCACATGTGAGACGGGGATTGTGAAGATGGCTAAAGGCAATTGTGTAGGTGAAAGGCTCTGGCACGGTAGCTGGACATCAGTGAGGACCTGGACAAATGTGAGCTGCAAATGGAGAAACCTACTAGAAAGATCCATTGACTTCCCTCTCTCTTCTTTCCATCTAACTACTGAATTAACACCTTGCTTTAACTTTTTCTCACTTATTATTTCTAGCATATGCTCTTGCCTTGCTAGTATGCTGCAACTCTTCAATTTTCCTTGTGACTTGCTGCAATTGTCATGCATTTTGAATCAACCCCATAACCGTTTGCTGAGTAGAGGCTAAGTGCACAGATGCCTTGTAGTTTGGAGGATTATCTTCAAAGCCAAGGGAGAATTAAATAAGCTATCAGGCAACCCATGTGAAAAGAGGAAACTGAATCGCCTCTCAAACTCACACGTGCCCATTGTTGACTTGAGAGGCATTTTGTTAAAAATTCAGCTGCCAAATGTATGTATAAAAATTTCTCACAATGGAAAGAAATGCTTTTTGGTAACTTAAATACCTGACAAAAGCATCTCAGCATTAAATCATTAATACACCCACTTGCTGCCAACTATAACTGCTTCTTTTGTCATGATAATACCGACTGTCTGATTTCTCTGGTAGTTTTGGGGCAGCAGCGTAATCAACATCTGGAAAAATTTGCTTGTGATCTTGAGATTTCAGTCATCTTTTAATGTAGCGACTGTGCTTTCCCACTCATGAAGATTTTTATAATTCATGATCATAATTTAGAATTTCAGTTGCACAACTCTGTCCTTCACTGGCATCGGCTTGCCTTGTATGGTAAAAATGCCTTCTGTTTTATAAAGCACCATGATATAAAGGATCACATTGCTGGTGATGTGGCTACTGGACTTTTCCATTGGGTCCTGATATGATGAAATGACAAAATATCATTGGAAAAGTGACAGCAAGAGGCTTTAGATAATGAATATGAGTTCTTTACTTAGTGGAAGAATGAACCATTTATG